CGCGAGCGAGGCCGCCGACCTGTCGGCTTTGCTGCTGGTCTTGCTGGTGTGTGTCACCTATGCGTCCATCGCACCGCTCATCATCCTCGCGGGCGTCCGGACGCCGAAATCAGACAAATCGGTCCAAAAGTTGATCAATGGATATCGGCATCTAATTGGTGGGCAGATTCACCTCAGGGTGTCATTTCTTTTCGTGCATTATTTTGTGATTCTAGTGAGTTTTGTCCTTTTGTTTCATGGATGAAGATTGGCGTGAGATGGAACCCTCAGCCTCAATCTGATAAAGGTTGGTTTGAACATCTACGTACTGAACACATGGTTGTGTAGCTAGGAGAGGATCGGATAGCAAGACTTACAGCTTTGTATAGTGTTGACATGTATTGACCTGCGTTTTTGAGGTTCAGGAAGGCTGGAGACGGTTGTTTAAGCTTTTCGGGCGCACTGCAGGCCTTGTTCTTTGCGCTTCGATGGCTGGTCCTGGCTTTGCGCTACCTCTACGTCGAAACCTCTCAGACGTGTGCAGTGTATCCGGATGCGGCAAACGACTCACTCTGGTGCTCCACAACCTTTGCCCGTTCCTAAATGTTTAAGCTTGCAGCTCCTGTGGTTCAGGTGCATGTGCCTCGCTTTGATAGTGGCGGAGCGTTTTGGTATCTCCTGTGGAACCAGGCTGGACTTGCTTTGGAATTGCCCTCAATACCAGCAGAGAACTGTGAAGACCTAGTACAGTCAAGTGTTGTGCGGATCTCGGTGACACATCAAGGTGGTGAAGACAGTCTTGTCCCAATGGAGAAATTGTTTCGCTATGTTTGCTGCATGTAAAGAAGGCAAGCATTGATCAGACGCCTCTAAGTTTCCATCCAGCATAAGAGGACCTGGAACTTTGACTCCGGTCTAGAGCGTGTCGAGAGGCCATGAGAAGGTTTGCAGGAAAATGATATCCAAGGAAGCCTTCAAACTGATGTTTTGCCTTTCCCGGACGTAATGGGAGCCAAAGTTTTTATCCAGTTTGCAAGGCCTTTTGAGACTCTCTTGTTGAACCCATCACCTTGTGATGCACACAAATGATTGGCATACCCCCTCAAATATGGTGGTTTGCCTTGGGTCCTGCAATAATACACGACATCTTTCAAGAAACATTCTAGCCCATTGTTGAAAAGTTTCGACCCCCAAATTAGTTTGGTCAACCTTTCTTGGGGACCAATTGTTTGACTATCCTTGTTTAACGGGGCCCCCAAAATCCCTCTATTCCTAACCCCTCGCGAATAATTTGGTCACCTGGGGGTGGGAACAAACATTTAGTCTTGGTATGTCTTGGTGATCTCCCCTCATGAAGAGATTTAATCTTGGTGACCTCTCCTGATTCACCCCTGCAACTAGAGTTTCTGACACCCTCCCAAATCAGCCAACCTTCCAGGTACAGATTCACTTGACGGGTTGCCTGACGGAAAGTCCGTACACGGATCCTTCGCCAGGCGGTTCTGGCGTTGATCCTGGGGGATGTCACCACGCTGGCGGCGGTGGCTTTGAGGTGAGAGACCACGAAAAGGTTCAGGGTGAGCGGCTGAGGTCTTTAATGGCACAGATAGACATAGACTCAACTCAAAAAGAAGTTGTTGGGGCTGTGGACAACAACATCATGACCATGAATTGGATCTTCTACCTTGGAAGCTGATGTGCGATCGAACTTGCAGGTCGGGCTATGCTCAGCTCCCTTTCCTTTTGCCACTACCTCTACTGCCAGGGAACTCAGATAGACTAAGATGCTCCCCCGCAAGACTATACTCCCACCACAAACATCCACTGGAAAATAAACTCTTTGCCAGCTTGGAAGCTTGTGTGTATGTTGCTCGGCGTTTGTTTTGCCTTCCAGGACACTTGTTTGTGACAGAGATGGTGCACAGGCCCTCAATGCCTACCCTAGTGAGGAGCGTCAAAGAACCAAAAGAGCACCTGTCCAGCCAGGATCGAGTCAGAGGTCCAGAATACAGAATACTGCAGGAGGAATCCAGAATTCAGATACTGCCGACATTCTTTGATCAGCTTCGCCCTTGATTCTTGTTTGATTCCGAGGATACACATAGAATGCACTGAACAGACACTTCTCAATTTGCAAGCTTCACAAACGCTGTGCACGTGGGAAAGAACCGGCCCTGCAGGGTGCCACTTAGAATGCGTTTGAATCAACAAAACCCACGATGCTTGCGGAGGATGCGGCACATTCTAAGCACACCTGTTTGCAACATTCTAAGTGTATGGTGTTTTGGCTGCGCCCGGGAGTTACTTAGGCATTCTAAGTTTCAGTCTGACGCTATAGCTGCGAATTGGGGTCACTTTTCGATTCGTCCGCGTCGTTTTGGCGTAAAAGTTGGACGTGCCTGGCCAACGACGACAACCGCAACTGCATCACAAATCTTTTTTAACCTAGCTCCGATGATCAACAACAGCAGCTCAGAGAAGTTGCAAAACGGATGCTGCCAGCAACCACCCGTTGACATCAATGCTTGACAATTGAGATCACACACACCGTCAAGAAGCCCTTTTTCCTGTGCAAAAACGGCTGAATTACGATGCATTGTTTGCCGCCAATTCCTTGAAAGCTGAAAGGAGGCCCAGCATTGCGGTATTGATTCCCTCACTGTTCTCGACATGCCCAGCATTGTGGGAAGTCTTGATACACCCATACAGGTGCTTAATGGTGCTTACATGATTCAGCACCACCTGAACCTTCAAGTAACAAGGTGTCGACGGCCTCCTGGTAGTTCCAGGTTAAAGTAATATGAATTAATATAAATATACTATTACAGTTACTATTACTTATATCATATTCAATTAGTACAATCTCACATCCCCATGGACCCATGGATGGCCATGGATGAGCAGGTGGATCTATCCCTTCAAGTCGCCTGAACCGACCAAACGTCTCCAGATGGATCAGCCTAGGATCATCGACTGGCATGAACCCGGATTCACCAGCCCTCATGAATCCATGGACCGTCTTGATTCATTCCTCCGAGGCCTGTGGCCTTCCGCACCATGACGGAACTCCGCTTCGCTCAGCCCTCGCAGCGGCTGTCGCTGCGCAGCGCGCGGCAGGTGGATGTCGATGACTGAGTCCGGTGCGCATGGAGGTGATGAGTCATGAAGACTGACCGGTTGACCACAGACACTGAACATAACTGGGGAGGTCAGCCTACCAGGGTGAGTCCCGGGCTATGGGTGAAATGACCACCATATCAAGATCTCACATGTAGCCTGTACAGGCTACCAACCGCTTGCGCCAATTGTACGGCTGCAGTGCCTGCTCATGTCAGACCTCTTTTCTTTCCCGAGCTTCTTTGACAACTGAAGAAACTTTGGAGGGATGAGCTTGACCAGATATGAATAGATATGACAAGATGAGTCGCATTCTTTGTGCATCATGTCCAGATCTTTGCTTCTCCAAGGCTCGGGCAGATCCCAACCTGGCGGAGCGCTTTCCCTTGGACGCCTATTGGCATCCCGCGTGGCTCAGATGGGAGAGGTCAGAGAGGACGTCATCACATGGGATCACTGGGCGCTGGACGACCTGAAAAACCCAAGCAGGAACCCACCACACGGAACCCACCCACCGTGGAACCCGACCGTCCAGTCGTATGTTTGGCCCAAGTATGTCGGCTGTGTCAGGGTTCTTAGTTTTTTTGGGGGGGGTTGGTGGGATTTGTCCACTGGTTGGTGTGATCGGGTGGTTTTTGCCGTGAGTTTGAGCAGGTAGATTCTGAATTGGCCAGAGTCTTTTCCTCGTCTTCTTGCACGTCCGAAAAACACTGAGGCTGAGACATCCCGGAGGTGAAGAGCGGATTGAGAACTTGAGCTAACGCTAATGTCGCTAATGTTGGGTTTACAGATCATGGTCATTTGACGGGCGAGGCATGTGGAGAAATGTGGAGAAATTTGCCAGTCGGGACAAGATGAATATGGAAGACAGATGCATCACTGCATCAATTCCTTTTTTAATTGATGGTCCAATCCTCTGCATGCCTGCGCAGTTGTTTCAATCTCTTGGTGAGAAAGTTTTCATGTATGTCTATCGATACAATCGACTCGCTGTCACGCGGGTGACAGGGCCCCATGGGGCCGAGTGCCTGGGATATCTCCAGGGTGATGAAGGTCTAGGCTGACGATGAATCAAAGCTGCCCACCCAAAAGCATCCTTGCTGTTTATTGCTGTGAACTAGAGATGTCCCAGAACCTGCCAGAACGATTTGCTGCAAGCCTCTTTTCACGAAAAACGCCTGGTCTCATGACTCAGGCCTGTCAGAGTCTTTAGAGCCTGGAGTTTGTGAGTCCCAAATGTTCAGTAACAGGTCAACCAGCTTGGTCTTTGGTTGCGATGCAGAGCGCTGTTGGTCTCTTTTCCTTGCAGGACTTGGCTTTTTCTGGAGGTACATGATACTGTACATGTTTCTGAGCATTCCCGAAAGATGTGCTTTGACTAGTTGTTCCTAAACCATCGTATTGGCCCTGATTGGTGATTTTTAAGACATAATCGTAGCGTCTTTGAGGACCTCCAGGACATCATCCGACAGATTTGCAGAAAAGATGCGATGGGAGCTTCTGCGCAAAGATGGTTTGATGAAGATGGAGATACATAGAGAGCACCAAGATTGTGACTTCCATTCAGTCTTGAAGACCAAAATTAACCTACTAGGTTGGAGGCCATCGCTACTAGGGTGGAGGCCATTCCGCTTCGGTTGGAGAGCACCACGAACCTGCACTCTTGAAGAATAGGGGTGTCTCGGATGGAAAGAGCTTTGGCCCAGCCTTGCATGTGTGTGGTCACGTCAATGGGAGAAGCAAGGTTTAAAGGTCCAAAGATGGAAACAAGGGAACAGGAATAGAATAGACAGGATGAAGAACAGGAACAGGATGAAGAACAAGAACAGGTCTAACGATCGAAGAATTGAATAGAACAGGAACAAAAAGGTTTAGCATCACTTGCTCATTTTGCAACTGTGCAGGATGGTGCCCGCGTGATTTCGCGAGCTTCTCTTTGTGCTCTTTGAGGCCTAGATTTCACCAATTGGTTGTTGAATCGATAACGACCTTACATTTGTACATATATGTACATATAATATTATCGTAAAAATATACGACAATATACGATTAAAAAATTCAATATATGTATCATTTATATAATATGAGTTATTTAATATTGAAATATATTTAAATATATATTTATATATATAGATATAATTATTGAATAAATATAGTAAATATATATATATATATGACGAAAATAATTTCCGAAGGAGGTTAGTTGAAAATCTAATTTACGATTAAATATATTAAATTCGACGGGATTAATTAAAATAATATTAAAATAATATGTTTAATTTGTTTTTATTTTTATTTTATTTTATATAAAATATATTAATAAATATTTTATTATTTTATTTTTTTTTTATTTGCTTTGTTTTTTAGAAATACGATATTATAAATATTATTTAGGATATTATATTTAAGATATTTTTGATAATTAATATGTTATTTAATTATGTTAAATTAAATATATATATTTTATATATATTTGAATTTTATTTTACTTATAATTAAATAATTTAATTTGAATTTATTAAAATATTAATTAAATATATTTTGAATAATTTCATTTTTGTAATAATATATAATAGTAATATTAATTAATATAGGATACGTAATTTATATAAAAATTATAATTTTATTTAATATATAAATTTATATAATTTTTTTTGGCGAAATTTAATTATATATATCTTCGCTTGAATTATTGTAACGAACGATTTTATTCCTAAATCTTATTATAACGGGGAAAACAAATCCCGAAAAAAATAATTCATGAAATGGATATCGCAATAATTTTCTGGCATTAATTATATACATGAATTATTAAATTATATTGCATATTTGATGGTGTTTTGTTTTAACATTGTCCTATCGATGGGTCTTAGGACATGATATAAAGGTGGAAAAGATAATAATATTTTTTTAAATATCTTTCATTATGCCGCTATCCGATAATGGGTTGCTTATTTGCAATCATTCCTACATGAATGAATTAGGATTATTTTTATCTTAGACGGAAGGGAATTAATTTAATCCTATCCAAAAGTCGGGAACATTGCTTACATGACGTTCCTGATTGTCCGATTCATAGCATTTTTTGGCCAGGGATGTCATACCGTGAATTGTCGGAATTCGTCGGTTCGGAGGGTTTGTTACTGAGGATTTATATGATTAAAAAGGTGATTATTATATATTTTTTTCAATGCAAGATAAATTTTCAAACCATTGAAGAATATGCAAATTCAATTAAAATTAAGATTATTTCGTCTGATTTCGTCGGGAAATAAGGATTTAAATTATGAAATAAGAATAAATAAAGATTGGGATCATGAAATAAGGATTAGGACCGTGAACTAAGATTCTGATAATGAAATATGGTGAAATAAGGGTTGGGATCGCGAAATAGGAATGAAACTCAAGAATTCAGGAATAGGACAATGAATTAGCGAAGACGAAGGGTCAAGACATAGAAAAATATATCCGGAATATGAAATATTATGAAATTATAATAGGATAATTTTCGATTTTCAATTGTTATTCCCCCCAATTCGATGATAATATATATTACTAGGGTCGGCCCGCTGTTTCCAACAGCGGAAAAATGCGATCCTCAAAATTCGAAATCGATAGATTAACAAATGAACAAATTGAGAAACCGACAAACTACGGACCTTATTTTCCTTCTTGGCCGTCAATAGGGAGCATGGGTCTGGCTTCCATTCATCACATCAACGATTTTTATGCAATAACAGAGCACATTCTCTGTGACCGGCCACCACTCGCTGCCGCCCGGTTCTATTTCAAATCTCATCGATCACTTTCTGCAAGTTCCTTGTCATTTGCAGCAGCCTTTGTGGCGGATGGCGAGCAGGACACAGGTCAGTGCCACAGATCGCAGAGCGTTGCACCAGAATTGTCAGAAAGCGTGGACAGCCACTCACTGCAGGTAATCGAGGCACTGGTCTATAGATATTCAAGAATTGGTTTCGAATGCCAAAGCCGCCATCCACCCAAAATTCGCCGATCCTGTCCAGCAGCACCTTCATATTAAGGCCCTGATCCGGAAACAAATACATGGGCTTTGCTGCAGTTGCTCTTGACCATTTTGTCAAATTTTTCCGATTGATCCGTTGCCATGTAGCCCGAGCTCCTGAAAAGCCCAAAGTGTTGAAGGGACGCCAGCCGTTGTGATTACTGCTTTCCAAGCCATGGATTGTTTAGCGAGGTTGAGGACCGATTCATCGAAGCTCTGCAACACGGCCCGGGCGTCTGCTGATATCCCACCGTTGAAATTCTGCTCTGAAGGACCGAAGTCATCGTCGTCACCATCAGGCTCGTGCGCAATGTCTAACATCGCATCTGTTGGCTTGAGATGCTCTGCATGCGGATTCCGAGGAATACCTGCCGTCTTATGAGAAATAATCCAATTATTTGGGGGGGGATCCGGACCGCGACGGAAGCCGTAGACCCATTGTGAGGGAGCCAAGACTAAAAATGAAAAGGCGAAAATATAGGAAATAATCCGATTATTTCGAAAATTTTGCTTCAGACATCCGTGTATTTTTGCCCGATCGCACCCCCGTCCGAAATATTAGTAGTAATTTAAATTGATATGAAAATTCATATCGATTCAATATTTTGATATAAATATATATATATATATTAATTCTTTGCACCTACTTCCAATGCATAAATTTACATGAACGCCCCAAACTTAAACCTCCATTAAGTTCGCATTTCGTCCATACCCCCAACTGCCACACTAGGTTGAAAATCTATTTTTGCATGAAAGTTAACCTCAAAGCTCGAAACCTTATGAAATGTAGTGAAGTTTCGTCTGAGCAGAGGACTTCGTCTGAGCCCGAGACAGGTCCAGTGTCAATTGGCGATCCGCCAAGTGGCCTGCAGCCAGCCAAGGGCGGGCACGGCAATAGGGGTGACAAGACGCCCAGACATCATTCCAAACCAATACAAATCCATTTAGAATCCAACCCAAACCTATCCAGAATTGCGCTAAGCTCGGTCCCTTGTTCGAGAGGTCTGAAATACCATGCCGACAACATATTCCTGAATATAGTGTCCAAATATACTATACAGATTATATTATTTTAGCATATACTTGATAAGTTATTGATTCGTATATTTTTAGCTGGGTCCTCCTGCAAGGGCAAGGCAACAATTTCCCGGGCTTTAATTTCGCCTTCCAATCTGGTCGCAAAACTCGTGGACAAATCCACGGTAAAAACCAGGAAGGCAAACAACAAACAGTGCAAACGATCGGTAGAAAAAACTCCGGCATTCCACATCATGAGAATCGAAAATGTTTGCATTATTTTGGGAATATTGGAAAATAAAATTGATATCGATATCACGCAATGTTGTCACACAAATGTACTCTATCAAAACGTCAAATACAAATATTAAATTTGCGACGCGCTCACGCGTATAGCTATTAATAATAGAATATTATGGGAAAACCTTATTCTTGCACGCGTCCAAGAAATGCTCGATGAGTACGTAAAAACGAAATGATAAATGTGGACCCAGGGTCAGTCGCTGGGAACAAACTCGAAATAAATCAAGATTGTCTGTGGTAGACCATGCGGGATTCGAACCCGCGACCGACGACGTCGGAACGTGGCGGAATTGCTTAGTGGTACATGCCCCAGGACGAAAGAAAAATATATGAAATAATCGGAATATTCTTGTATTTGAAAAATCGAAATGTATGAAATAATCTAATTATTTGGAAGGGGGTCGGGACCGCGACGGAAGCCGTAGACCCATTATGAGGGAGCCAAGACTAAAAATGAAAAGGCGAAAATGTAGGAAATAATCCGATTATTTCGATCATTTTGCTTCAGAATTCTCCGTATTTTTGTTCGATCGCCCCCCAATCCGTACCCCAATCCGTAATATTGATAGTAATATATATATATATTGTATGTATTGATCTTTCTAAGCATTATTATTATATATACAGAAATTATAACCTATATATAAAAAAAAATATTCAGAAAATCATAGTGCAAATTCCATATATATATAGAAAAACAAAAAATATATAATGATATATATTTTTTCATTATATTAACAATATATAATATTATATTTTTATCTAGATGATTTATTACATAATCTTATAAATAAAATCAATGATCGGTTACAATGCAATTTATATATCATGAACGGAATATATATTTCATAATATAGAAATAACTATAATATGGAATATATATTTCATAATATAGAAAAAATCTATGATAATTTGACACACAGGTATCATAGATTCGGGAAAATATTCATGATCTCTCATGATCAATCATTGCATGTATTCATTCCAAATATATATGCAACCTTTCGATCTAACAAACATCTATCTATATTTAATTCATATATTCATTAAGAGAACGGCTTCTGCAAAGGAAACGGAGAAGAGGATTTTCATTGCCGCCAGAAGGCGACGTTTGGCATTGAGAGAGTAGCTCGAAGGACAAAATTGTAATCGTATATGGGGTGGAATTA